AAAAAAAAAAAAAAAAAAAAGAAGAGACAGAGTAGTACTTTAAGCTGAGTAGGGGTTGTGGAGCATCTGTACTGAAATCTTGCCAGAACAGAGTTTTCATGTATGGGAAGAGTCTTGGATTTGGAGTCAGGAAGACCTGAATTAAGATCACGGCTTTGTCATTTCCTGGCTACATGACCATGGACAAATTACTGCTATCTCTAAGCCTCAATTTCCTTATATGTGAGACTAGGTAATAATATCTACTTCTCAGGTAAACCTGAGGAATAGCTGAGACAGTGCCTAGTGCAGGGACGTCAAGTATTTGGCATGAAAATGACATCTCCCTCCTCTCATGTTGATGGCTGAACAAAAAAAATCCATCTTGCTACCTTTTTCCACTTAATGAATATGTAAGAACATTTCCACATGTATGTAAGTATATAAGTATATCTCAAACTCAGCATGTTCAAAAGGAATCCTGTTTTTCTCTCCCAAACCTTCTCAACCTGCAGTTTTACCTATCTGACTTGATGACAACTGCCTCCTTGCAATCACTGAGATGCAAACCCCTGGAGTTATCACATACTCCCACATCAGGAAATCCTGCTGGCTCTACCTTCAAAATATGTCCAGAATGCAACCCCTTCTCACCATCTCCACTGCTACCACCGCGATCCAAGCTAGCATTAACCCTTGCCTGAGTTATTGCAATGGCCTCCTAATTGGTCCATTGTACCCTTCTCCCTTAAAGTCTATTCTCAACAGAGCAGCTGAAGGAATCCTTTAGACAAGTAAGCCACATCATATTACTTGTTTGCAAAACCATTTGATGGTTCTCAGTGTCACTGAGAGTAGAAGCCAAAGTCTTTGTGGTGGCTCTGAGTCCTTATGTAATGTGGCCCCTGTTTCCTTTCTGGACTCGTTTTCTATTACCCTCCCCCGTTCTCTGCTCCTGGATGTTTGGCCTCCATGGTGTTTCTTGAGTAGGTCAGGCACAGGGGAACTTGCTATTTATGCTGGATGGCTTGTCTTCCAAGTACCTGCATGGCCCACTCTCTCACTTCCAACAAATGAGGCCTGTTTTGTTCACTCCCTTTAAAATTGTCCTCTCTTCCCTGGCACTCCTGATGCTTCTTATGCTGTTCTAATCTCTCCTTTGTTCATACCACTCAGGACTTGCTTTCACGCTATATCATTTGTTTGTGTGTTATGTGAATTGTTTGTTACCTGCCTCTACTTCCCTTCCGGAATGTAAGCTCCATGAGGACTGTGACCTTTGTCTGTTTTGCTCACTGATGTATTCAGGTGCCCACAACAGAACCTGGAATATTACTTGAGTCTATCAAATATTGTTGACTCAATTAATAAACTTAACATGGCTTCAACATTTTCTTAACCCTGAACTCTAGGGAGTTGTATTATTTTGTTTTCACACTACTATAAAGATACTACCTAAGAATGGGTAATTTATAAACAAAAGAATTTTAATTGACTCACAGTTCTGCATGGCTGGGGAAGCCTCAGGAAACTTACAATCATGACAGAAGTGCAAGGGGAAGCAAGGCACATCTTACATGGCAGCAGGAGAGAGAAAGAAAGCAAGGAAGTGCCACACTAAAAACCATCAGCTCTCTTGAGCACTTACTATCATGAGACCAGCATGGGAGAAATCTCCCACATGATCCAGTCAGCTCCCACCAGGACCCTCCCTTGACATGTGGGGATTCCAATTCGAGATGAGATTTGGGTGGGGATGCAGAGCCAAGCCATGTTAGTGGTCACTCCTAATTAACTGGTATTGGCCCATAAAATCAAATCTTTGCCATCCGTATCCTGGCACATACCAAGAGATTGATCAATGTTAAAAATAAAACTGACATAGCTTATACCTTGAAATCCCTTTGCGCTATTGTAAAACTAGCTGGTGTACTGATGTAGCTTACACAATTCTTTGTGTATGTGCCTTTGAAGGAGATGGCACTCCAAAAAGCCCTGAAAGAGATTAGCGTTGAGCCTCAAGAATGTGGTTGTTTCAAGAGAAGTCATACCTGGTCTTCTCAACAATGTTAGAGGAACATTATCTCAGTAAATGTGATGGAGCCTCGTACCCATTTCAGGCTTTCCATTGGATGACTCTTTCTTCTCTCCAGCGTCCTACACTGCCTTGACAATCACTGATCACCCAGGGTGATTCTGCCCGTAGTAAGTTGAGTAAAGACCTCACAAAAGATCTATGTCCTAATTCCCAGAATCTGCATATTACCTTATTGGAAAAAAGCGTCTTTGCACGTGAAAGTAAGTTATATGAGATTATCCAATATAATCTGGATAGGCCCCAAACCCAGTGACAAGTGTTTCCATAAGAGAAAAGCAGAGATGTTCGAGACAGACAGAAGAGAAGGAGGCAGTGTGACCATGGAGGTAGAGATTGGTGTGAGGCAGCCACAAGCAAAAGAAAACCCAGGAGTGTTGATAGGTACCAGAAACTGGGAGAGGCAAAGAGCGGATTGACCCCTACGGCCTCCAGAGGGAGCACAGCCCTGCCTACACTGTGATTTTGGACTTCTGGTCTTCAGAACTGTGAGAGAATATAAATTTCTGTTAAGCCACCTACTTTATGGTATTTCTGTCCCAGCAGCCTCGGGAAATTAATACATTGCCTCAGGGCAATTTTCCCCTTTTAGTTAGAATCTCTTATATCGTTTTCCAGACATCATCTCTTTCCCATTACATTTATCTGTTTGGTGTTCTATTCTTCAAGGACATGACTTTGACTAATCTAACACAATACACCTGCCAGATATTCCGGGGATACTAAAAGTTAACATGTAATCTGTCTTTGGAGACATTCCATTTAACAGTCCTTTTTTGAGAGCCATGTCTTAACCCCAAGGACTCTGAGTGAATTTGAGACACAACAGGCCCTCAAGTGGATAAGAATTATAGAATTTCAGTGGCCTTTAGTGTTGCCTGGTCTGATTGCCAATTTAATGCTCAAATCTCCTGCTAAGTGATTATAAAACCATTAATGGCATATCTGAATATTACTGATTGCTAGAAAGGTTTTTTCTGATATCGACTCATAAGCAATCTCATTGTAGTTTACATAATTTTATGATGATAACATTTTCATTCTTTTTCATCTTGGGAAGGCAGATGGTTGACTGGTGATTAATATGAGCCATCTGGGGAAAATATTGTTAAAAATTAAATAACCTTGGCAGAAAGGATGTTTCTCATTATCAGTTTATCTTTGCCAAGCACTTTCTAGGTAGACCACTGTTCTGTACACAGACCATTCTACTGGGTCAGACTAGCCTTTGTGAAAAGGGAGGTGTCGTGGCAGGGCAGTTATGTGAGAAGTGCTGCCATCACTATCTCTGTGACTTGTAGGCAAGTCACTGTGACTGAGGCTGTACCTCAGGGGTAAGGTCTGTAGCTACCTCATGGAGCCTTTGTGAGAATTACATGGCAAATACATGTAATGCACAAGGCAACACTATCATAAATATTTCATTTCCATTACTTCTACTACTCTGCTGGTTGAAAAAGACTGTTTTATTGGAGTGAAGTCATTTTGGGCTGTAACACAGACTTAGGTCTGTCCTCAGCTCTGTCACTATCTGACTCTGTAATGTTGACTTGACACTGACTCAATGACTCCAAATACCACACTCTATACTACTAGGCTATAGTGCACATTTGAAGTCACATAGGATTGAAATACATGTATATTTTTCCGTTCCTATGAAATTAAACCCCATGTTTTGACTCACTGAATATCCTCAGAGTGTAACTGGACACATTTGCAGCGGTCTCTGAGGACATCTGGGCACTGTAAGAGCCTGTGTCTTCCATCTCCAGGTTGCTGAGTTGCAGGGAGTAGGACTGGGTGAAGTTCAGTCGCTTTCTCCATTTCGGATTAGTCAGGTGGATTTGTGGACTTTTGGCTTCACAGGGTTCTATGAAGGCAATAGATGTTCCATTGTAAAGCCAAGTAATGGTCTTGATCTTCTCTCCTGCAGGAAACTCCAGGGGAAGAGTTATTGACTCCCCCAGAACCCCATTCACCATCAATGGGGTTGAGCTGGTTTGTGAAACTGGATTCCCTGTAAACACAGAAGGAAAAGGTTTTAAAAAATGTTCCTGACAAAATCCCTGCCTAGTCCTTCACCCTTTCGCCTAACTCTGCCAGTCTGTTAGAGCTCTCTGATACCAAAACTCGGAGATATGACAGAGTGGGAAGGTTTAAGGAGATGTTTCTAAATGGATAATCAGAGTCCCAGAGCTCCACCTCCAGCAAAATGTCAGACACTCTTGGTTAGTAGGCAGCTGGTCTGGATGAAACTGGCCCAGTCCACACTGGGTCCTACACTGGTGGGTCACTCCCAGGTCATGACTATGCTTCGTGACCCCAGCCTCTGAATTCCTTGGGCATTAGGTTGAGGGGGACAGGAAACTATTATAGACTCCAAAAAACTGCAAGTCTTTGCTGATAAAGTGTAATTAAAGCCTGATATTTACTGATTACCTATTGTGTGTCCAATATAGTAGGCTTGTGCAATTTAGAAGGTAACAGAGACTAATATCAGGGATTTATAGCATAGTCAGTTGTTCTTATACATTATTTCATTGGTGCTGACAACAATTCTGTGAGGCAGGCAGGATGGATATTACTGCTTCCATTTATAGATAAAGGAACTGAACCACAGAAAGGTTAGCTAATTTTCCCAGGGTTGCACAGTTAAAGAATAGCAGAGTCAGAATTCAAACTCAGGTCTTCTGACACCAATGACTGTGCTCTTTTCATGATGCCAGAAGGTACTTTTTATTCTCTCAGAAAGATTATAATGTAGTTGTTGAGGAGATAAAATGGATACATATAGAAATAATGAATATAATTTCAAAGTAACACACGATAGCATTATTGTGAGCTTATTCAGAACCATCAAGGTTTAAGCAAAAAAGGTGAAATGATCACAATGATTCTTAAAGAAGATGCTTCCTTAGCATCCTTTCCCAAATTCTTAGCAATTATCACACTATTTTGTAGTCTTGTTCACCTGTTTGCTTAACTGGCTTAATTATCCTTGCATGTCAGTATTCAGCACCGTGTCTGACACGTAGTAGAGTCTGTGGAAATGTTCAAGTGGGTCAATGAATAAATAACCATAACCATTACCTCAGCCTTCTCAGGGTCTGTTGCTTTTTTTTTTTTTCTTAAAAATTTCAACGTTTATTTTAGATATGGGGGTACATGAGGAGGTTTGTTCTATGGGTATGTTGCACCCAGATAGTGAGCATAACAACAAATAGGTAGTTTTTCAACTCATTACGTGCTCCCTTCCTTGCCGTCTAGTAGTACACAGCGTCTGTTAATACCATGTTTATGTCCATGTGTGCTCAATGTTCAGCTCCGTCTTATAAGTGAGAACATATACTATTTGGTTTTCTGTTCCTGTGTTAGCTTGCTTAGGATTATGGCCTCCAACTCCATCCATGTTGCTGTAAAAACGTGATTTTATTCTTTTATATGGCTGTTTAGTATTCCATGGTGTATATGTACCATATTTTCTTTATTCAGTCCATCACTGATGGGAACCTAAGTTGATTCCTTGTCTTTGCTATTATGAATAGTATAGGGATGAACATACAAGTGTATGTGTCTTTTTGGTATCATGATCTATTTTCCTCTGGCTATATACTCAGTAATGGGATTGTTGGGTTGAATGGTAGCTATGTTTTAAGTTCTTTGAATAATCTCCAAACTGCCTTCCACAATGAAAATTTACATTTCCCGCTAATGGTATATGGTTGTTTCCTTTTCTCTGAAGCCTCACCAAGTGGGACCTAACACCTACTTTTTTGTTTTGACTTTTTAATAATAGCCATTCTGACAAAAAACTGTATTAGTCCATTTTCACACTGCTAATAAAGACATACCCAAGGTTGGTCATTTATAAAGAAAAGAGATTTAATTGACTCACAGCTCCACATGGCTGGGAGGCCTCACAATCATGGTAGAAGGTGAAGGAGGAGCAAAGTCATGTCTTACATGGCAGCAGGCAAAGGGAGCGTGTGCAGGGGAACTCCCCTTTATAAAACCATCAGCTCATGAGACTTATTCACTATCATGAGACTAGCACGGGAAAGATCACCCCCATTATTCAATTACCTCCTACTGGGTCCCTCCCATGACACATGGGAATTATGGGAGCTCTACAGGTCAGGATGAGATTTTGGGTGAAAACACAGTCAAACCATATCAAAAACAAAACCAGCATTTATTGTTTTTTGACTTTATATTAATAGCTATTCTGACTGGTGTGAGACAATATTTCATTGTGGTTTTGATTTGCATTTCTCTGATGATTAGTGATGCTGGGCATTTTTTCATATGTTTGTTGGTCACTTGTATGTCTTTTTTTTGAGATGGAGTCTTGCTCTGTTGTCCAGGCTGGTGTGGAATGGTGTGGTCTCGGCTCACTGCAACCTCTGCCCCCCGGGTTCAAGCAATTCTCCTGCCTCAGCCTCCCAAGTGGCTGGGATTACAGGAGCCTGTCACCACACCCAGCTAATTTTTGTATTTTTAGTAGAGGTGGGGTTTCACCATGTTGGCCAAACTGGTCTTGAACTCCTGACCTCGTGATCCACCCACCCTGGCTTCCCAAAGTGCTGGGATTATAGGGTGAGCCACTGTGCCCAGCCTGCATGTCTTCTTTTAAGAAGTGTCTGTTCATGTTCTTTGCCCATTTTTTAATGGGGTTATTCATCTTTTTGCTTGTTGATTTGAGCTCCTTATAGATTCTGGGTATTAGATCTTTGTTGCAGACATAGTTGGCAAATATTTTCTTCCATTCTGTAAGTTGTCTGTTTACTGTAATGATAGCTTCTTTTGCTATGCAGAAACTCTATAATTTACTTAGATTCCACTTGTCAATTTTTGTTTTTGTTGCAGTTGCTTTTGGGGACTTAGCCAAAATTTCTTTGCCAAAGCCAATGTCAAGAAAGGTATTTCCTATTTTTTTCCCAGGATTTTTATAGCTTGAGGTTTTGTATTTAAATCTTTGATTCATCTTGAGTTAATTTTTGTATATGGTCAAATGTAGGGGTCCAGTTTCAATCTTCTGCTTATGGCTAGCCAGTTATCCCAGTACCATTTATTGAATAGGGAGTCCTTTTTCCATTGCTTGTTTTTGTTGGCCTTGTCAAAAATCAGATGGTTGTTAGGGTGGGGCTTTATTTCTGAGTTTTCTGTTCTATTCCATTCGTCTATGTGTCTGTTTTTGTACTGGTACCATGCTGTTTTGGTTACTATAACCTTATGGTATAGTTTGAAGTCAAGTAGTGCGATGTCTCTGGGTTTTTTGTTTTTGTTTAGAATTGCTTTGACTGTTTGGGCTCTTTTTTCTTTGTTTGTTTCATATGAATTTTAGAATAATTTTTTTAATACTGTGAAGAATGACATTGGTAGTTTGATAAAAATAGCATTGAATCTATAAATTGCTTTGGGTGGTTATAGACATTTTAAGGATGTTGATTCTTCCAATCCATGAGCATGAAATGTTTTTCCTCTTATTTGTGTCGTTCCTGAGGATTTCTTACTTCTTAGGAGAGGAGCTGAATAGGGAAGGAAATGTCTCTTGGTATCCTGGTGCTCAGCTCCTGGGTGAGCTTGCACACCCTCTCTCTTTCATTAATTGTCATATGAATTCCAGGCACATGAACTTGCTGTCATCAACATCTTTCCCATCAGCATTTTAACACATTGTGACTTGTCATATTGACTCCTCTTTCCTCTGAATCACATGAGTGAATACCACAAGGAAAATTTTGAGCAAAAAGTCCAGATATCAGAGAATATAATGATGCGATTCGATTTATTTAAAGTGGATAAACAGACAAAACAAATTTATGCTGTCAGAAGTCAAGAGAGTGGTTACATTTGAGGAGGAGGGAGAGGTGGTGAATAGGAGGGAGTATAAAGGGAGGATCCTAGAATGCTGATAATGCCCTATTTCTAGATCTGTATTTGGCTACACAGATTTATTCATCTTTACGATAATCCATTGAGCTGATACTTAAGATCTGAACAGTTTTTATCCTTGTATTTCAGTTTAAAAAATCAAAACAGTAACAAGATCACAACAAAGTAAAATCATGACGATGATCTATAAGGACTAAAATTATCTGGCCATTTCTCTCTCTTTGACCTAATTCCTATGCTTCCTCCCTTGTTCACTTTGCTCCAACCCCCTTGAACAAGCCTGGGCTTTTGCATTTGCAATCCTTTCTTTCTGGAATGCACTTCCTCCAAGTATCCATGTAGCTCACTCTTTTGCCTCTATAAAGCCATTAATGCAAACATTCCTGCTCAGAGAGTTTAAAGAAGTGTGACCACTCTTTCCTCACCATCAGCTCCTATCCACCCTTGCACATCCTGCTGCCTTTGGATTTACCATCTAGTACTTACTATGTAGTATACTTTATAATTTACATATTTGTTTTTATTTATTTTCCCACCTCTCCACTAGAATGTAAGCTTCATAAGGCAAAGATTTTTGTCTGTTTTGTTTACTATTGTGAACATTCTTGAACAGTGCCTGGGACATAGTAAGCATCCCATGAATATTTATTGAGTAAATGGACATATCTCCATTCCATCTCTGGGAGGTTTTCTGTCTGGAATGTTAAAGCTCATTTCCTTTTGGTAGCAAGTCTTGGGTTACTCAGGGGCCCAAGGACTCACCAGGAGCTGCTCTTCCCTTACCTAGAACACTCCTTTTAGTTCCCTTGATTTTATAGATTTCAATCGTTAGTTTATTTAACAAGTCATTCATTCTACTATTTGCTAACTTCTATGCTAATTCAATTAGTAAAACCTTAGGAACCATGGCATTCGGACCATATTTATTAGATCTGTTTTATGTGCCAGTGGAAACTGGGAATATAAACATCAGTAAGATACTGTCAGTCTTCTGGGTCCACCATTTGATAGAGGAGCCTGACAGGTAAATGAGTAGTTGGTTCTGATGTGGTGGGTTGGGCACTGAGCCAGTGTAGGGCTTGCCCCTGCATTGCCCTTGTATCACTACTGCACCTGCACATG